GGGAAAAAGCAAGGTTCATTTTCATGGGTGGGAGAAAGTGAAAAGGACATTCAGAGAAGAGGTTGAAGATATAGAAGATTTTGTAGATATTTCCCTAGACCCGAGGTAGGCACTATAGAAATGCCAAGCAGCATGAGACACCTTTCACTTGCTTTCTAAGAACTTCAGGTAGGCCTATGGCAGGTAGACGAAGGCATAAAACTTTATCCCAGAACCCAATATGTGTTACTCTATAGGCTCTTTATCTTTTTCCTACTAGGTCTGTTGGTCAAAAAGCATTTATTGAAAAGAAATTTAGCACATCAAAAGTGAACGACACCCTCCTTGCACAGATGAGGAAAAACAAGCTCAGAAAGCAGAAATGGTTTAGTGCAGGCTTCAGCCTTGTTAGTAACAAATTCAGGTCAGGAATTCGGGACTCTATCCAGTCCCCCAGGCCGTATGCAGAGTCCTGAACTGAGTGCTATAAAGGAACCGGAAGGAGTATAAACTATGTTCCTCCACACCCTCTATGCTCTCAGTTACAGTCTAGGTGAGAATGTGATGCTCACATATGAAATAATTTCAGCAAACAACATAACAATAGGCACAAAATATGCTACAAGTTGTGTTCCTAAGTACCAAAGGGAGACAATGTAAAGTCACATGTAGCTTTTCAAGGAATGTTTCCTGATGATAATTTGTTTACGTGCTTTCAATAAATTCTATAAGTAATTCATGAGAATTAAAGAAAATTTGGAAAACAGAAAAGCAGAAAGAAAAAGAAAATTGTTTTTGAGGTCCCATTACCCAAACAGAATCGCTACTATTTTTTTTTTAATTTTTTTTAACGTTTATTTATTTTTGAGACAGAGAGAGACAGAGCATGAGCGGGGGAGGGGCAGAGAGAGAGGGAGACACAGAATCGGAAACAGGCTCCAGGCTCTGAGCCATCAGCCCAGAGCCCGACGCGGGGCTCGAACTCACGGACCGCGATATCGTGACCTGAGCTGAAGTCGGACGCTTAACCGACTGAGCCACCCAGGCGCCCCCAGAATTGCTACTATTAATACTTTGGCATATTTCCTTTTTTTCTGGCATGAACTTTTTAAGTAAACACTTAATTTTAATAGAACATGCAAATAGTTCAAAATCCAAGAGGTAAAAAAAAAAAAAAGTTGGATAGTGACGAATCCGTCTTCTTCTCACCGACCACTGCCCCTGTCTTCAGCCACATAGCTTCCTTCCCATGAGCCCATCTCTGTTCAGAGATTTATGTTTTCAACTCTCTAAAAAGTGTACTTATAAAGTATGGAGTTTAGTTAATAATCACGTAATCACGAGGCTATATTGGATCATTAAGGTAACAAATATACCATACTAATGTAAGATGTTAATAATAGGGGGAACTGGGTGTGAGGAATACAATTATTCCCCCAAAATTGCATCTCCATGACATAATACGCATCTCTGTGAGCATGGGGTCACTAATCAGCAGTATCGTACGAGGTAAACACTGGGTTTGACGAAGTAATCTTCACAAGTGGGACTCTAATATTTTATCACAGAAGTAGGGAATCATAGGATTGTAAATGACTTAGAGAATAATGCACTCCCCTTGCTGAGAAAATTAAACAAATAAACATTTCTAAGAATTCACAGTTAGGAGAGCCAAGATTATCATCTTAAGTTTTCTGGGTTTTATGTTAGTGATCCCTTCAATACAACATATTACAACACACCTACTCAAAAATACCGCAAGTGTGCATTGTCATGCTTACAACAACCCTGCCATTGTTCTTTGTATTTGTGGCCGCTCTGAGTTTTGGAGATGGTCATACTTTTGTTTAATAAGCTTTCTTTTGCGGGGAGCAGTTTTAGATTTACAGAACGATTGAGAAGGCAATCAGAGTTTTCATATCCCTCACCCCAGCCCCCTATTATTAACACCTTATATTATTATGGTATGTTTGTTACCTTAATGTAATGATCCAGTACAGATTCATGATTACTAACTAAACTCCATACTTTATCCAGATTTATTTAGTTCTCACCTGGTGTCCTTTTCCTATTCTGGAATCTTACCCAGGATATCACATTTTATTTAGTCGTCATGTCTCCCTAGGCTCCTCTTCGTTGTGACAGTTTCTTAGGCTTTCTTTTGTTTGTTTGTTTGTTTTGTTTGTTTGTTTTTGGTTCTAGTTTTCATTTAAGATTTTTAAAAGTTTATTTATTTATTTTGAGAGAGAGGGAGAGAGAGAGAACGAGAAGTGTAGAGAGAGGGGGAGATAATCCAAAGCAGGCTCTGTACTCTCAGCACAGAGCCTGACAGGGGGCTTGATTCCATGAATCTCGAGATCACAACCTGAGCCAAAACCAAGTCAGTCAAGCCTGCTTAAGATTCTCTCTCTGTCTCCTTCTGCTCCTCTCCCTTGTTTGTTCTCTCTAAAAAAAAAAAAAAAAAAAAAAAAAAAAAAAAAAAAAAAAAAAATTTAAAGAGTATGTGACTCTTCATCTCAGGATCGTAAGTTTGAGCCCCACATTGGGTGTAGAGATTACTAAAAAAAGAGAGGGAGAGATGGAGAGAGAAACGGGGTGCTCTTGAGAGCCAGGGAAGAGGGTAGGGCAGCCCAGCTGGTGAGGGGGAAGCAGGATCTTGGATTTTGATGTGTTTGGTTTCAGGTGGTGGCTGCCTGTTCACATGATGATGTCTTGCAGAGAATTAGAGTTCTGAAGGAAAGTGAAGTCTCAGGGCTTGAGAGTGGACAGGCTCTGCACAGGCTAAATCCTGGAACTCTAGAACAACCAAGCTAGAAAGGGACGAGAGATCATCTCAATGTTCAGTCACAACTGTTCCCATTTATAGAGTGTCCACTGAGGTCAGGTGCTGCACAGGACCTGTCACCTCTTCTTTTTTACCCTGAATCAACTCTGCAATCAGGGTGGGCATTTTTATCCATACCTTACACATGATAAAACAGATTCTAGGGTTAAGTAACTTGCTCAAAGACATAGGGCTCAGTCACTGAGCAGGAATCAATCCTGTTGTAGTGAAGTCAGAGCTGTCCCAATCGTCTACTGGAGTTAGACCAGAAGGCCTCCAACCCCCTGATTTGGCAAGTGAGAAACTTGAGGCCTAGAAAGAGAAAATAACTTGCCCAAGTGCACTCAGGTAGTTAGAAACTAAACTAGGGGGGCTCCTGGCTGGCTTAGTTGAAGGAGCATGCAACTCTTGATCTTGAGGTCGTGAGTTCCAGCCCCACACTGAGTATAGAGCTTACTTAAATAAAGT